GGGCCGGTGCGGGCTGTGCCCGTGCTCCGCCGTTAGTCTGTGGTTCAGAACGTCGCGTTCCGCAGGAGAAAAGGGTTCCGAATCCAAACCCTGTGCGTTGTAGAGCAATAACATCGCCTGTGCTTTGGCAGAGTGCCTGGGTTCGAGAAACCTGCCTCGGCCACAGAGCCTGGTTTGTAGGAATTTGTGCTGGAACCGGTTTCTTTGGGTCACTGGCGGCAGCTGGCTGTGCCACGGAGTGCCGTGCTGCGTGGAGAGCCCGGTTTTCCGAGTGAGAGTTCACACGGGTTTTTTTCAGAACAGCTCTGCCATGTGAGGGTGAGTAAATAAACTGGGTCAGGTTAAAGGTTGGTGTGATCCGGTGTCCTGGTTCAGCTGTGATCAATAACAAGCGTCACGGGAGTAGCACAAGCAGGAGGGTTGTTTGTAGCGTCTGAACATTTAGGCTCAGTATCATGCCTGAGTATGACATTTAATAAATCTACGTGTGGGTAACAGAAGTCTCCCTTTACTTTTTTTGTTTTTTAAATCCTGTGTTCTTCCAATATGTGACCAGTATTTCAGTTCATAAGTGTTCTGTATTATTGATAGTTAACTTACTTGACTAACTTGGTGATAAACTGTTATATAGCATCACTTTAGCAGCGTCATCTTCTTTGTCTGTCTCATTGATCATTGGTGTTCCCCGAGTGTGGTGTCACTTCCTACAACCTTTCTGATCTTTTCTCACATCATTACCCTAATTTCACTGTCCATCTTATCCCATTTTACTTCTTAAAGTCTGCACGTTTGCTTAGAAGCACGTTTACATTTGGCTTGTTATTTTTATCTTCCTGTGTCATACATGAGTGAGAGTCTTTGCCAATTCTTACGTAAAATTAGCTAACTGATCTTGTCAATGGGTACCAGGTATTAATTTGGTGGATAGTTTATCGCAGCAGAGATGGGAGAACTGCTTTGTAGTGGTAGATACGTACAAGGTTTTAGATTCCTCATGTACAGCAGGACTGCTCTCATAGTTGAATACATCTGTTTCCAAGATTGGGGTTGAAGACTGAAGGAAATTTTGTCTGAAATATCTAAATAGAACTAACTGAAATACTTCTCTTTTATGTCACACATAAAGGAAAGCTGTGGGTACATAATTACTATGAAATACTTGAAATTGCAGGGAATGCTGCGTGATTGTGGTAGTAAACTCGTGTATGTGTATTGACTGAGAGCCACTGATTATTGCACAATAAAAGCAATGACTTAACGCAAGAACTATGTGATCTTATTTCTTTTCACATCTCCTTTTCTTGCTGCTGTCTTTATTACCGCAGACACTGTTACTTTTTATCTTGGTCTTTTAATAAAGATAAGCTTGGTAACCTCATACTGACGGGAAATTACCAAACAGCTCTGTCTTCAAGTGCAAGTGGACTTAAAGATCAGGCTGGGAATTAAGCCACAAGAAATGTTAGTCAAGGGAGAAATGACTTGTCTTTCATTCATACAGTCATCGTAAAATGTGACTTGAATATATTTCCTTCCATATTGTAAATCGTGATAAAATTCACCTCTAAATTTTACGAGTTAGGGTTTCTTAGAGCTTTTTGTCAGCCAATATCAGCAATAGCAAGTAGGTATCACCTCACTTTACAGGATGTGAAATACCAAAATGTCGACAAAATTCCAGGGGGGCTGTCAGCAATGCTGTGTGCTATAGCTGTGATACTGTGCTGGGCCTGGAGAGTGTGTGTGGGCGCTGGGTGAATGAATCGTTGCATTCCTGTAGCGCGGATGTTTCCTTCATCTTGGGACAGACCGAGCTGTAAGAACTGGCAGGATGTCCGAGGTGCGTTGGCAAAGAGGTACCAGAGCCATTCGTTGCAGCACTAAGGAAGATACCTGTTTCTGTCTGAATGCTTTTTCATGTGATTAAAATATTAGAGTGCTCTAGGTGGGGGCTGAAAATGAAATGCTTACATATTTTTCAGAGATTATGTCTCAGTAACTAAGCTTGGATCTCGGGCCCTGTACGATGGGGCTGTGGAAATGAGAGTATGTAGAGCAAAAATCAATAGTCGTGAGAATATGATAAGCACACAGCAGAGCCTCTAATGCAATCAGCAGTGGTGATTGCTAGCTCTTGTGCTGGGAGCTGGCAATAAGCGGAGCAGTAGGATCAACTGCTTCTATCATAGTTGCAGAACAAACCTGAAACAGCTGAAGTTAAGAGTGCTTGCAAATATATCATTCAAAAGGGCTCTTAAAAAATGCCTCAGCTGTTCAGAGTTCTCCTCCGACACACACATAAAGGCAGAATCCTTCACCTTGACCATCAGTTTTGCCAAGTGCCTATTCATTTTGGGAGCAGCGTCGGAGTTTGCCCTTGGGAAAGTGAATTTTTTTTTTTGTTGTTCATTTGATGACCCAACCAGAAGACTCTATTGTATTACCTACCCCTTCCTGGCTGCATCTTTTATTCCCTTTGCCCAGTCAGGAGCTGTGCTGAGCGAATTGCAAGGGCCTGAAAAGAGGAGGGAGAAGTTTTACACGTTTTTCTCCTGCACGAGACCGCTGTGACCCCTGCTGTTTACCATTTTACGCGATGGACGTACAGCAGAGCTAGCGAACCAGCGCAGGCACGGGTGCAAGCAGCACAGTTTTGCTTTGCAGATGTTCACAGCTCAAACGCAGCCGCAAGCGGAGCCCGGAGCC